CTTATTAGGACACAACTCCATATCTTGTAAACACAATACTACTCAGAGTCCAACTGTAACCTACTTGTACACAATATTCGACACAACTCTAACACTCCCTTTGAACTTTAATGACCGGTTTGGACTAGTTTTAGAAGCTTTCGTGCATTTTTCTCCTTTTATTTTCCTATCTGTATTTCTGTGTTGGTTTTCATTGGTTTTTCTTATGGGTTTTGTTTTCCTTCACCAGTTTCTTTGACTTTTCCTTTTTTTCCAACAGATGCCTACTTTTTAAATACACATTGTACATTTTTCATATACACTTGGAACATTTTTTCTATATGGTGAACAATTTATAAACACATGATGTACGTTTTTTCAAAATGTATGTGATGAAACACTTTTTGAAAACTTGTTATAACATATCCAAATACATGTTAAACTATTTTACTGGCATTATTTTGTTTTATAAAACTACGTGAACATTTTTTTACATTATATAAGCATTTCTTAAAAAATTAACAAACATATTTTTTGTAACCCATAAATCTTTTTCAATATTCTGAACATTGTTTATACTACGTGCACTATTTTTTACATTCTATTAAACATATTTGGTCATGAACATATTTTGTAAATGCATGAAATTTTTGTGAAATGCACATCCATTTTTTGAACATTTTGTTTTGAAATTTCACGTACATTTTCTTAAATGATACAACACACTTTTTTTGAATTGTGTGAGAATTTATTTTGCTTGTATAAACATTTTTTAAATGTCGCAAAAACTTTCCAAAATGTGTGAATATTTTATAAATTTCAGAAAAAATGTTTTTGAATGCTATCAATTTTTATTTAGTAAAGTAAACTTATACTGCATTCCACGATTTCTCTAATGCGCAGTGAACATTTAAAAAATATATAATATTTTTTTCAGAAATGTAAATAAAACAAATAACACAAAAAAGGAAAAAAGGAAATGTTTGAATCTTCTTTGACACTGGAATCCCAAATACAGTAGATGATTCCCAGTTTTGTTCAGATACGGGTTTTTAGGCAAATTTTGTTCTGCTACGTGGCCGAGTACATAAAAATCCGATAGAATTAGCCATACCTCTAGTGAAGGCCCTTACGGGAGCTCCTATTTGGCGCTTCAGGCACCGGGGAGCTGCACTAGAGCCCACGCGCCCATGCAAGTGTGCCGGCCCATTTAGATTTCTCTTCTTTTTTTCTTCCCGGGTTTGCTCGATCGCATTTGGGGAAAAGAAAAAAAAAATGAAAGAATACACAAAAAACGAAAAAATCGTGAATCCAAAAATGCACAGATTTTGAAAAAAAAAATCATGACCTTGAAAAAGAGTTCATCCATTTAAAAAAAGTTCATCAAAGTTTAAAATAAGGACATCAAATTTGAAAAAAAGTTCATCGAACTAAAAAATTCATCAAATTTAAAGAACAAAAAGTCATCAACAGTTAAAAAAATGAGAAAGTATATCAAACTAGAAAAAAGTTAATTGAATTTTAAAAAAGTTCATCACATTAGAAAAAACTTCATCCAAATTGAAAAATAGTTCGTCTATTTTTTAAAAAGTTCATCAATTTTAGAAAAAAAGTTCACAATTTTTATATAAAACCGCACTTTTAAGGAAACAAGAAAAAAATGGAAAGAAAAAGGAAAAGAACAAACCGAACTTTCGAACGAAATAAAAGAAAATAACGAAGCAAGTTTGCAGAAGAGCATGATAAGCCCAGGTGGCTGCTGCGCTTCATTTGGACGGATGAGGTCACAAGTTCGATCCCATCGCAACACCTTTCTTTTCAAAAAGTTGACAGAAAAAAGGAGAATGTGCCGGCCCACGAATTTTGAATATGGTGCGCTCTCAGCCACCGCTACGTGTCGTGCTCTAGGTGCTCCCTCGGTTTTTGTTTTTTTGTTTTTAGTTGTTTTTTTTTTGGGTTTTTCGAATTCTTGATTTTCCATCGGCTTTCTTAGTTTTTGGACAAAAAAATTGGCTAGCTTTCGCACTGATTCGTCGGATTCGAGGTCCATGCTTGATCCAGCGTGACTTGTTTTCCGCCCAAGCTAGAGTTGACGCTGGTGCTTGGAAAAGTATGGCATGCTTCTCCTCGGTATGATCTAACATCATGGGTGAGGAAGGAGCGGCGGGTCCTGATTCATCGAGTTCGACATGTTGACGAGGGGTCAAAACTTCAATTCGCCCCAACTGGCCGGTCGAGACGGAACAGGGGTGTTCTGGCGCAGAACGACGCCGATGTCAATCTGATCTTCGGCCGCAAATGCCATCGCACCATTGCGACTACTCAGAGGGACCTGCATGGGGCCACCAATGATGGATTCAAATCCAGCAGATCTCGTGTAGGGGGTCTCGAGCTAGTAGCCTTGGTATGATGGTAACAGGTGACATGAGGATTCATCCAGGTTCGAGCTCTCTCGAAGAGATAATACCCTACGTCATGCTTGATTGTATCGATTTTGAGGGAGTACAAGTTACACGTTGATCTATCTGCCACGAGATCACGTGCGAATGAGATTGTTCTCTGCGGTTCCTCACCCCTCAGTTTATATAGTTATTGGGGATGGCTAAGGTTTACACACAGGTCAGTTACATCTAGGGGTAATAGTGACGAAGACGACCTCTAGTTCTCTTAGTATGCGCCAAGTCTTCAAAAGATACCATTTTGGCGATTCTAGGCCCGACGAATGTGGCCCACTGGTTGATCATTATTGGGGTCGTCGGCTTGTCCCATATGGTCGGGAGCAGAGGTGTCAAGCACCCCCTAGTCCAGGACACCATCAGGTGGCAGGTAAGGTGGTGTACGATGGGGCCGCAATGGCCGCCGCCGCTGCGGTGCAGCCACCAGGTTGGGGTTGAGAGGTGCTCATTTCAAAAACATTGTGTGCCCTAACTGCATCTAATAATTTGTGAGTGTGAAGTTCAGCTTTTTATGCCACTGTTGTTGTCTTTCAATGATAATATCTCAACCAGATAGGATGCAAAGGTGTGTATATTTATTAGCCTATTCATCCTTTTCTCCTATTTGTTCATGGCGTAAAGCATAGTCCTGTGATCTGAGGTCATACAATTACTCCCTCCGTCGTTGAGACACTTATTTTGAGACAGAGGGATTTTTTTTTTGTTCTATTGTTGTTTTTGTGCAAATCATCTATCTTGCTTATTGAGTATTATTTTTTTCTGGAAAGGTCATACCGGTTTTGATTTCTCTCCAGTGAAATTTTTTAGTTGGATCAAGATGGTTTTTGGAGGTGAAATGTTTTAGTTGGATCAAGATGGTTTTTGGAGGTAGGTTTATGTTCCCTTGTTGATGAAAAGGTACATGTATGTGCTCCCTCCGTCCCAAAATTCTTGTCTTAGATTTATCTAGATACGGATGTACTTAATACTAAAACGTGACTTGATACATCCGTATTTAGACAAATCTAAGACAAGAATTTTGAGACGGAGGGAGTACTATATATTGTGGTGAGCTTACTGTTTTGTTTGGGGGTTGATTGGTTCACTCTTTTCCTTTCATGCATGTGATTCCTATGTTATAGGCTCGGGTGCTCTGTTTTTTGGATGATCAGATGAAGGGGTTTCCTCTCGTGGTGTTGTTCGGATAGAGAAATAGATCTTTGTTTGCATTAGGATTGGTGGTGTCCCTCCCAGTTCTATTATAAGTCATTGAGCAAGATGATTCAGAAGAATTTGTGCTATATATATATATATATATATATATATATATATATATATATATATATATATATATAGACACAATCACACAATTTTCCACCGGGAACGGACATTTTCTTAATGAGATCACTGAGTTACCCCCTTATCATGTTTTGCGTTATTTACTGACAAAATATTCTTACATGGGGTCTGGTATCATCTGCTAGCCTTTAATTTAGTGTTATTGAACAACTTTCCATTAGTTTTCTAATTTGTCTTTGGTACAAAGCTGCAGGGTGATGGAATACACTGTCTTGTGCCCAAGGGCTTACTTTCCAAATTTCAGCAGCTGGTGTCTGAAGGTCGCGTATGTTTCTTTCAGATTAGCCCCGCCAAAAGTCAGGTTCGGTTCATGTACCATAGATTCGAATTCCATTTACTTGATGGCACTGTCAAACCTATAGATCCTGTGCCTAGCTGTGTCGATACCGCCTTCAAAAGTACAAAGTTGAGTCATTTATTTGGGACGGAGGGAGTACATGACATCAAAGGAAGGAAGTGGCAGTATTTTTGCCTTCATTATCAACGAGGTCAATGCTAGGAGAAGCTTTGTTTAGTAGCTGCATCGTAATCTTTGAAACTCGTGCATCAAATCATGAAGCCCACAATCTTCCAGATTCTCTTTCGCTCGAAATAAAGTTGCACGTAGTAAAAAAGAAATCGGCATCTAGTATCATCACAGCAATGAAACAAAGCAAGCAACAGCAATCAAAGCACCTCATCAGCGGGTGCCGGGGCTGCAAGGAGAAACAAGAAGCTAGGTCCGGTGCAGGTGGTGGTAACAAGCTACTTGTAGTACTTTTCTTGTCAGGTTGAGAAGGAAACCTGAGGCACCAAAATTTCTGCTATTTTGGAAGGCAATGCTGTGGCCACTTTGTGACAAGACCACAGGGCCAAACAGATCATGGTGAGACATTTCCTAGTACATCTTCAGAAATCCCTAAGAAAACGCAGCACCATCTCGTTTAAAAAACTCAAACGCGTTTCATGAATGAAACTTATCGATAGCCATTTGACAGCTTAGAACAAAGCAAGAAAAGGTGACGGAACACATGTGTACTCGCATATGAGGTTTGAACATTGTATGAGCAGGAAAATTACAGGACCATGGAACAAAAACCTGCTCCAATATACGATACGCAGCACCCGATTTCCAGGGTACTTCAACTCCAAAAAGAAACTACTACGGTATTATGAAAACACAAGTTCCATATTATTAAAAACGATGTTCGATATCCAAGGATATATCAGGACTCAGAAAACCAAACAATGATACTGGTAAGCGGGACGCCCAAACGGGCCACAGCTCCGAAGGCAGATAGATCAGTACTTGTAGTCCTTGACGTGGAGGCTCTCAGAGGCGCCCTCGCCAAGGGTGGCGTCGCCCTTGTAGGTGCCAAGGGTGGCCTCGGAGTTGGCCTTGCACCTCACCAGGAACGCCGTCCTGGCCTTCTCCTCGTTCTCCGTCTTGCCGGACCAGGCCTTGAGGGTGCTCTGCTGGAGGGCACGCCCGAAGGAGAAGGACAGGTTCCAGGGCTTCTTGGTCTGGAGCTTGTTCATGGCGTTCAGGTTCAGGGTCGCCTCCTCCTCACTCTGTCCACCGGAGAGGAAGACAATGGCGGGGACGGCAGCAGGGACGGTCCTCTGGAGGGTGCGGACGGTGTACTCAGCAATCACCTCAGGGGCCACCTTCTTGGCGTCGGATCCAGGGGTGACCATGTTGGGCTTCAGGAGGGTGCCCTCAAGGAGGACATGCTGGTCGTTGAGGGCCTTGTAGCAGGCAGCAAGGACGATCTCAGTCACGTAAGCACAGCGGTCAATGTCATGAGGTCCATCAACAAGGATCTCAGGCTCAACAATGGGCACCAGCCCATTCTCCTGGCAGATGATGGCATAGCGAGCCAGACCCTGAGCGTTCTGGTCGATGGAGAGCTGTGATGGCTCGGTGGCGCCGATCTTAAGGACTGCACGCCACTTGGCGAAGCGGGCACCAGCCTCATAGTACTTGGCGCAGCGCTTGCCAAGGTCATCAAAGCCCTGGGTGGTGGTCTCACCGTTGGTTCCAGCAAGCTCGATGGTACCCTTGTCCACCTTGATTCCGGGGAGGACATTGCCCGCCTTGAGGATGTCGACGAAGGGCTTGCCACCCTTGGTGCTCTGGTACAGGGTCTCCTCGAAGAGGATCACACCGCTGAGGTACTGGAGGGCACCAGGGGTGCAGAAGAGGAGCTCACGGAGGGCACGGCGGTTGTCCTCAACGTTCTCAACATTGATGCTGGCGAAGCGCTTGCCGATGGTGCCGGTGGACTCATCAGCAGCGAGGATACCCTTGCCAGGGGTGCCAATGTAGGCAGCGTTCTTGATGAGCTCATCTGCAAGATAAATCAACCAACAGTATTACAATCAATTGACATAACTGTACAGATATTACAAATTGTGATCAATTGCCATAACTGTACATATATTATAAATTGTGATCAAATCTACAGAACTGCAGGTTGAGTGCAACCACTCACAACGTTTGGCAAGCATAACAGCAAATGCAGATCAAATTTACTAACATAATTCTGACAATTGACTACGAAATTTCGTCAATATTTTTTCTAAAAAATTGCACGTGCACAACAGGAAGGTGGTAAACATAAGGGCAGGGGATACCAATAATTAAGATCACAGGAGAGAAAAACATACAACTCTATGTAAGGACGGCATATTCCTTGGCAAAAGATGATCCTATGACATATACAGATCTAGATTCACAGATGCAATCTACAATAACTAAAGACGAACCCAACAGAAACATGTGTAGATGCGTATACAAACTTAACCACAGAGTAAAAAAGGAAGGAACGCCAGTATCATCATTCGCACAAAATAATCACTAGCATGCACCTAGCAGCAGCAGCAACTTGCACAATTATCAGCATGCAACCCATCATCGGACGACGCAACCGATGACCCCCTAAGCACCCGATCCAACTGCCAGCGCCTATGAACGATCCGAAAAAACAACCAACCGCTAGAACCAAACGGACACAAACACGGCGCGCACGGATCTAACCCGCGTGTGCGGATCTAACAAACCATGGCATGGAATCGCGAGCATCGGCAGATCTAAATCATGCAGAACAGCAAAACGGTTAACAGATCTATCTACACACGAAGCAGACAGGCATGTCGACAGAACGACGGGCGAGGGGGCCGGGAGGAGGGGGAAGAGGACGGATCATACCCTTGTACTTGCCGCAGTAGGCCGACATGGTCGATGCTCGGGGGAGATTCGAGGGCTGCGACGGGAGATTGGGGGTTGGCAGGCAGGGGAGGGAGGGAGGGAGGCGGCTTTGGTGGACGGGGATGATTAGAGGGTGGGGGTTATAAAGGGGCCGCGGCTTGGACGAGGGGAAAGAAAGGGAAGGGGGGATCCGATCTGGGTGCGTAGGAACGTTGGCCTGTCCTCTCGCACCGCCCCTGGTTTCCTCTGTTATTTTTATCCAGGCCCTCGGCGGTGGCTTTATTTGGGAGGTGCGCGTTTTCTGAAAATAGAGGGGAACGTGAATTTCTTTATTTAGATTAGAAAAAAATTGGAAGCTTAATTAGGACTGGCCTGTGCACCAGCTGGTAAAACCGTGAATATGTGCTGACATGATACTCCCTAATCGTTTACATAGTTTCTTTGATACATTTTGTGTTTAATATATACTCGTATGTGCATATAGTGTATGAACCAAAAAGATCTTTTCAAATAGAAAAGGTTTGAATCAAAAGTATTCCACATCAAAAATGTACTGGTGGGTGTAAACAAAATAGCCATGTGTCCATTGATGTGATATATCATATACTCGGCTGGTCATTTTGCTATGAATGGTTGACACACCTGTTTATGCATCTCGTCTGCGAGCAATCATGAACAAAGTGGAGGTTTAGTTATGACTTGTTACCCTGCAAAAAAAATGACTGTTCATTTTTTTATGACTTTCAGCTAACATTTTAACAAAATGATCTTTTTTTTACAATGGGAATTCTATCGGGTGCATGCACGATCGTGATCATGCATGATGTCAGCACAATATTTACTGCATCACACATGTGAGCGTTGCGGTATATTTCGCCGTGTTGTACTCGATTTCTTTTTTTGAATTCACATTTTTTTTCACTTAAGATGCTATGGACGTATGGTTTGTGTAAGTGTTACAGGGAAAAAGGGCCATTGTATATACGGAAGAAGGTGAGTCGTACGCTAATCAAATTAGGCATATGTCTACTACTATTAAAGCAAACCATGGCTTTACCTTTTTCAAGATGAGATGATTGGGGAACAATACGTGGGCCGATTCAAGAAAACAATACCAATGCGTAGTGATTGTGCTTTGCGTATATGTACATGGACTCTCAACCGTTCAAATTTACTCTGGCCTACTCCATTAGGTAAAGCCCTGCAAAAAAAATACTCCATTAGGCAAAGCACGTACCTCCGCAATTTAAACTTGCAACAACACGATGGATGCCTTTTTAAGTGCTATATATAAACAAGATCAAAACTCTTGAGCACGCAAAACCCAAAACTAAGCTCACAGTTTTGCTTGTTCGAAGGGTCAGCCTAGGTTGAAAGAAAGAAAAGAAAAATTAGGTTCCCACTCCTCGGAAACATATGGCGTATATTCTATATAAAAAAGATCCACATTGTACCATTTTCCATGTGCAAAAAAAAAACAGCTCCGCATCGATTGATATAAACTCTTTTTTTTGTACAAACAAAAGAAATGTTGTCTTATGATGGTGTTATTATGGACTTATGGTTGGTGCTACAAATAGGGAAATTAGGCCATTGTACTTTAGGAAATATAAAGGGAACCATCTACTGATCAAACCAGGCATCTACTATTATTAGAGTCCAAAGTGGCCTTTTGTAACCAACTAGCGTTTTCTTACCTTTTAAGATTTTGAGGACAAAAACATGGGGGCCGATTCAAAAAACACTAGTGGGCAGTGCCTGTCTTTGAGTACATGCACATGGGCTCTGGACCGTTCAACATTACTGTTGATACTCCATCCATTAGGTAAAGCACATGCCCACGAACCAGCCTGTGGTTGTATGGTTATCGGGACTGTGGTATTCTCAGTCCATTGGGGTTCAAATACTAGTGCTCGCATTTATTTATGGATTCATTTTAAGATCTCTGACGTATCGCCTACGGTGACTTCGTAAATCTCAAAATGATATGTCGGCTCAGTCTTTTAAAGGTGCTCATAAAGATAGAGTGTGTGTGTGCGTTCATAGAAATAGGTGTATGCATGTGTATATGAGCACTTGTGTCGGTACTGATGTTAAAAAAAAGTAAAGCACATGCCCACGCTTCGTTTTTGAAGCGCTGCTATAAACAACACCGCGCTAATAGTATTTGCTTGCTCGAAGGGTCAGGTTCTTCGGTTCCAAGAAAGAAAGAGGGGGAGAAAAAAATAGGTCCCGCCCGCTCCTCGGAAACATCGGCGTGTATTTCTACTTTTCCCCGGGGGTGCGCACGCGAAAAGGGAAACCGCCCTTTCCGGGGCCTCGCCCGAACCCGACCGCGGCCGCCACCGGTCACGGGTTCCGCCTCGCCACCAACCCCACGCCCGTGCCCTGCCGTGCCGGCCCCACCCAAACGCGACGCGACGAGGCGCCCCAGCGCGCCTTGCCCTGTCATCTGTCAAACCAGCGAGGACCCCGCGGGGCCACCCGCTCGGCGGCCAGGCCATGCAGATGCAGCGGCGGCTTCGTCGCGTCGCGGACCGGCCCGCGCCGCGCGGCCAGGGCCGATGTGACTGACGGCGTCGGGAAATGGAAATGGAACACCGTCGGACGCAAGCGGTTTCCGGAGGCCGGCGCCTAAACCTGGACGGCCTCTGCCAGTTTTCGCCGTCCCCGTTTTGGGCTTCGCCGCCGCTTATGGGTTCGGGTCCGTGCGCTTTCGCACGCGTCCTTTTCCGGCTCCTGCCTCCCCTCCCACCGCTTGGTGCGTAGTAGTACGGACGTGCGGTCGCCCACGGTTCCCTCCGCTCCGTCCAACAAGAGAGCTGCTATGCACACGACGCATAGCAGACGATTTGTGCACGATACAGCACATCAGTGCGTCCGTGCATATTATCTAAGTGCAACAGACGGCTAGATTGACATCGTGCAGCTGTCGTGCATGTAGTGCATCGTCTGCATAGCAGTTTCTTCCATTCCACCTCCAATCACCGCATTCATGTGCCCGTCCATTGCTTTTTCGATGCCGCGTTGGACCGGCAAAGGCGACACGGGGTGAGGTGCTCCGCGCGCGGACATGAGAGTACGTTCACGGACGTGTCCGCAGACAGTGTCGGTGGGCCCTTCGTATGTGCTGCCGCACATTCACACATCTCAAATGCGGAGTCTAAAATCCACGCAATCCATTCGGTTAATTCAACAGTTTGAAACAAAGCAAAGCAAATCATAGTTTAACAATTCTGACATGTCAAAATGAAACCATTGTCCAAGCGTGACTGATGCCTCGCTTGCTGGCCGGATCACTCGCCGAACGTCATCCATGCCGCATGCTCCAAGGCCATGCTTGCGTCCTGCTCCGCCTGCATCTTGGCCGCCTGCTCCGCTGCTGCCGCAGCCATCCTCACTGCTCCCTACGCTCGTTCATCTCCTTCTTCCCTGCAAGCCACTTATTTGCATACTCTGTTGGGGAACATAGAAATAATTCAAAATTTTCCTACATGTCATCAAGATCAATCTAGGAGATGCTAGCAACGAGAGAGAGGGAGTGCATCTTCATACCCTTGAAGATCGCTAAATGGAAGCGTTACAAGAACGCGGTTGGTGGAGTCGTACACGCAGCGATTCAGATCGCGGTCGATTCCGATCTAAGCGACGAACAACGGTGCCTCCGCATTCAACACACGTACAGCCTGGGAACGTCTCCTCCTTC